TTGACTCTTGGATCACAAAAACACAAACACACAGTGATATTTTGGGTCTTCTGGAATTATCATAATCAGTCCAGAACTAGTATCCAGTAGTTCCCAAAGACCTGGTTATTTCTTTTTCACTAATGCACAGTTACCCTGGTAAATGTCCAAAGTCCCTTTGGCAAAGGCTTGGAGAAAGATTGATAGTTTAAATTTTTTGGTAATATGCAAGGTTCATCCCTCAAGGGTACCTGACCTCCCTTCACTAAAGAGGTTCTAGGGCTAAAATCTTCCTCAGTTCACAAACTGATTGCTGAGCTCCCACAATGACAGTTTTTATGATTCAAGTTAGACTTTTTTTTACTTAACCTGCTTATACAGATCAAGTCAGAATTTAGTGTTTTTCATCTGTTTCACTTCTAGAAATACCATGATCAACTTGCCATTGCCTTGCTTATAAATGGGCAAGACTATTCTGATTGCTGCTTTGAGTCCACCGTCCTAGGGGGTAACCACATCCCTCTGTCCTTGCAGGTGGATGCCTCCACTTGGACTCTACCTCTCCAGAGTGAATGCTGTCTATGCAAATGGTTATGTAGCAATATCTATCCCAAACAGGAAACTTCTCATACAGGAGATGCAATGAGAGAAATGGAACGAAGCCTGCTAACTTTAGGAAAACTTTATATGCCTGTATTAAATGTTTTCAAGTAAGAAAACTTTAATTAAGCCATAAAGACTTAGGGGCACCTGGGTGGCTTAGTCCACTAAGCATCAGACTTTGGCTCAGGTCATGATCTCACATTTTGCAAGTTTGAACCCCAGGTCAGGCTCTGTGATGACAGCTCAGAGCTTGGAGCCTGCTTCAGATTCTGTGTTTCCCTCTCTCTCTGCCCCTCCCCGCTCATGCTCGGTTTCTCTCTCTCTCGAAAATAAACAAACATTCAAATTTTTTTTAAAACGTACATAAAGACTTTAAACCTTCAATAAGGTTATTTTTGTAGGTAAGTATGTAGAAAATCTTTGTGATAATTGTCTTTACAAGTGTAGTGCAGCATTTATGAAAACTTCCATACATTAGTGATGACTAAGACCTGAATAAAAAAGTTTCTCAAAATCTCATTCTATTTATAAATGAAGGACAAATGTAAAAAAAAAAAAAAAAAAAAAA